CCTTACCAAGGATTCTTTCAAGGACAAATTTGCATTGGTGCTTACACAATCTTCCCCTGGTTTGAACATGATTTTGAAAACTACGCTGCACTTGATTATTAACGATAGTTAAGTGCTCAAGATCCAAATTGCACCGGTCAAAGTACCTCTCCAATTCAGCAAATATGTGAATAATATTCCTATAAAATGGGTACATGTTAACAATGTTAGAAATATATATAAGAAAAAAAAAAAGGTAAAATTGTATCTAAGAGGGAAATAAAAAAAAATACAATAAAGCAACCTACGCCAACCATTCAGACTAGGAAACTAAATCTAATTACAAAAATGTATTTATATGTTTAGGAGAAGATCACAGCTGCAGTAGATTTGAATTTTAAACTTCCTTTATATTAACCCGAATAAGAGTTTTGGCAGGAATTCGATCCTAATGGGTCGGGTATGAAGGATAAGAAATGGGTATGGGAACGAGTACATGGAATTTTTCAAGTATGGTCTATAGGAAGGTGCGGGGATGATATTTTAATCCCTAATCCGAACCCAATGTATAATTTATTTTTCATATAAATATATCATTAAGATGTGTGATGGTGGTGCTACCTCTATAATGATGATCATGTATTGAACATGTATTAAATTTTTTTTAAATAGCTTATATTATTAGTTAATAAAAATTGAATTGGTACATATTTTGTGCTCATAGTGCTTTTTTCTCATTCAACAAAATAGCTTTTTATTTTATTTTCGTGATGAGGCGAGTGATGAAGGTCAGTATGGGGAATCCTCAATTTAAATATTGGGGGTATGAAGGCGGGGATGAGGGAAAATACTTAACAGGGATGGGGATGTGAATTGTATACCCACCCCCGATTCGATCCATTGCCATAATATATTTAAACTATAAGCCAAAAAAACAAACGTGAGATTTTTAGATATACTTACCGAATAATGCGGCGATAATTATCCACAATATAATTGTCATTCCACACTTGGCGATGACTCTGTAAATACTCAGATAATGACTGCATATCCCTTCGTTCTATATCTGGCTTACGTATCCCTTCGTTCCTTATTTCTCACTATTAGGGTTTTGAACTCTTAGTCTTAGGGTTTTGAGTGGAGTACTATTTATAATGTGTAAACTGTTGGCGAGTCCTTGTTTAGTTAGGTTTTTGGTTCCTTACTAAGTTAGCCCAACTATGGGTGGCACCTTTAAGCCTTAACCACAACCCAGACTAATCCCCGCTCACACCGGGTCGGCCCGTAAGGGGTAAAGTGCTGGCCAAAGTGGTGACTCCATACGAGAGCAGGGATCGAACCCCTGACCTTCTCTTAAGGAATGAGAGTGCCGAACCACTCACACCAACCACCTTGGTTACTATGTTAGGATTTTGATTCCTTACTATGTTAGGATTTTAGTTACTTACCTATTAATTTAGTCCTATTGTAATTGAGATTTATTTTTCTATAGTAGTTTAGATTTATTTCCTATTGTATTTAAGGTTAACACATCTTTGTATTTAAGGTTAACACATCTTTGAATTTATTTCTTATTAGGGTTAACACATTACTTTATATTTATATAAAAGAAGAAGACCAATATTGGTTTATCCCATTGCATATTGGGGGCAATCAAGTGAATTGGATTCACCTCTTTCGTAACACTACATTAGTTAGCTCACAAATTTGTATGTAAAACACAAAAATACAATTGTAATTACATCGAGCCGAGATGCTGTATTTGAATTTCCCTTCCTCGATGCATCCAAGCCAAAGTCCTTTATCAATTGTGCTAGAGATTAGAGACATACAACACCATTGAGCATCACGAACCATAACTGGGCCAATCATATTGGGAGGTGGTGTAGAAAGCAGCCAGGCTGGCTCATTTTTGGGTCAACGAAATGAAGACTAATTGAGGAAGCTTTAGAGTTGAAGTAGTTTCTGGGACGTGCTTGCCTTGCACATATTTGCTGTACTTGTAACGTTGGAAAGTCCTTTTCTTCTTCCTAACATTCCGATTCCTTCACTTGCCAATTCCCATGGTATTATTGTTTAAGCACTTAAATTAAAATGCACTCAAAAGGAGTGGCCTACCAAAACCTCCAAATGTTCCCCAACTGACAATTCTACCCTCCAACCAAAACACCTACATGATATCATGGTCATGCATTACTAAGTGAATCCTTTCAAGGTTGGTTTGGTCTATTCACTCGAACACAAAAAAAATAGTGCAATATTCTACTTAAGGCAATCATGGTTGCTGTTCAAATTAATTAACTAGGGATATGGTAGGTCCAACAAACTCTGGCTAGCATAAACAGGGGAACTTGGAAAAAGCCTTGAATTGAAATTGAGTACGTTCAAAACAAGAAACATTCAGCTTCTCCTCCTTCCTCTGCTTTTGCTTTTGCTGTAGGTTTCTGATACATAAAGATATCAGGATTAAGGAGACTAAGGCAAGCAGATATGGACTGTTCTATTTGTACTTCAATGCCGGCTATATTGAGGCCTCCAAGGAATACGATATGCTTGACATGCTACGAGGGAGCCCGTAGCGTTATCTCCTTCATAAACAAGCTTGAAAGTGCTCAAGGATCAGCTGAGAAGAAAGCAAATTTGTGTAAGGCAAGCCTCTGGTTTCAACTTTCATCGTCTTTCTTCGTTTTAATTGCTTGGATTTTGCAGACTTTGAATTCAATGCTTCATCATTCTCTTAATTTCATAATTACTAGGAAGCACTTTTACATTAAGCCATCATACAAAACTTAACACATCATCACATTCTTTGTTGGAGGAGTCCTTCGCTTCAACAACACTCATTTCATCGTTGAAGAGTATTTTACTTTTGAATGGGCAAATTTTTCTGGTGCAGAATAATTTCATTTTGGGTCTCTATTGGACACCTATATATCTGGACCCAGCAAATTGCTTTCTGGGCCTTATTGATCCACATCTCTTATGGGCCTTTCTTTCTCAAATTGTTTCTCGGCCTAATTGTTTTGGAAAGGCTATAATGAGGGCTTAAAGTGAGGAGGTTATTTGAGGAGGTCAAATCTCACCATCAACAAATGTAAAGAAATCATGGAACTTAAATATTTTAAATGTTTTGACGGTCGGATCGGTCTCCTCAAATAACCTCCTCACTTTAACTCCTCATTGTAGAAGCTCCCTAATTGTTTTGCTCACATCTCCGGATACCTTAGAATGAGGGGGTCATTAATAGCCGTCCGTCCGATCTAGTACAGAGTTATAATTGGGCTGTTGGATTGAACCCCCTCATTGTGATCCCTCAACATAATCCTATCTTAGTTTTTCCAAAGCTTATAGACAAAAAGAAAAATGTTGCTACAAAATTCTATATAGTATCGTTTTGTGATGTGTTGTTAATTTCTTTTTCTGCTGCAGACTCTGGAGAATGTGTCAAAATGGGTGCATGATAGGAAGGATGCATCAGAGGAACTCAATGAGAAGATTAAATTCCTAAGTGGATTTGTTGTTGCATTTAGAGATCAAATTCACACAGACATTCAACTCCACCCTGGTGATAATGGGCCTCCAATACCTGCACATAGAGCCTTATTGGTGACTCTCTCTCTCTCCAGTAATGTTGTCTTAACTTAGTTATTTGATTAATTACTTAATTATATATGCATGAGGGAGGAACCATTAATCATTTACATTAATGTAATTTACTGTAGGCAATACGATCGGAAATCTTCAACAACATGCTAGACTCAGACGGGTGCAAAGCTCCACCAAACGACGCCGTAACATTGATAGAGTTGAACCATGAAGAGCTTGAGTCTCTCTTGGAGTTCCTGTACAATGGGGACTTGCATGAAGAAAAGATGAACAAGCATGTCTACTCCTTGTTCCTTGCAGCAGATAAATACGGAATCTCATACCTACAGAAGCTTTGTGAGCGCCATATGCTCCAGTCTCTGAGCACAGCCAATGCTCTTGATGTTTTAGAGGTTGCAGATGTTTGTTCGTGCCTGACTTTGAAGGAGAATGCCTTGGACTTCATTGTCAAAAACATGCACGACATAGTTTTCTCAGCTAAGTATGATGCATTTGCTCTTAAGAATCCTCATCTTTGTGTACAGATTTCAAGGGCATCATTGATGGATGCCAAAAGAAATTCAGTTTCTTAGCTAGTAAGGGAATTATTTATATGATGTTGTAATTAGACAAAATTTGCAAAACCACCACACAATCAATTGTTAAAAAGTGCTTATGGTTATAAAAGTACTTGGAATCACTTAGATTTCTTATATAAAAAAATTCAACCTTCTTCTAATATAAAATGCTTATGAACCGACGAGTTTTTACAAAATCACTCCCATACAAACCCTAAATAACTACTGATTAAGCAGAGCCCATGTATTAAGACAACCCAAAGCATACATCAACCTATATATAACACCAACAAGCTCCATTAACAGAAAACAGAAGCCCACACAAACCCCCCCCCCCCAAATCAACCTAATCCAAAATACGAACCCTCACCCTTCTACCCAAAACCGCGAGGAGCCAGGCAGAGGAGCCAAAATTTTCTATACCGATTTTATTATTGTTATAGCTTTTTGCATGCAGGTTTTAAGGACGACACAAAAAAATCAGCACCAACACCATTCACTTATCGGCATGGTTTATAGAGTAGTTTCTTTCACATCCAAATTAATTACTAAGATGCATTAAGAACATCCAAATTAATTATAATATCTCCGAAATGATTGATCTAGTTAATTATTACTAGGATTATTTACAAATTTTTATTTTCGGAGCAGGGTAGTGGTGGGGCTGACATAAACCAACAGCAGTACACAACCCTTCCCTATGCAGCGAAATGTCCTTGATCGCCATCATTCCATCAAAGACATGATTGAAATTCTAATTCTTTGACCACCCTTAAATGTCTAGTCTTGTCATGTCTTAAGAACCACTAGTGTAATTAAGATGAGCTAACTAGCTATATATGATGGATCAAGTACTCGTAACTAAGTTGTTTAAAGCTTGATTAATTCCTTGATGATCAACATTAATTCATTTCATGCCAACCTAGCTAGCTATATAGCAGAGCCACATCAAGAAAGGAAAGGAGAGGATTTTTTTTAATCCAAGAGGAAGTGGAAAATGATCTTCATCATCACAAAGATATATAAATTGCTAGCTCTAGCTATATAGCAACCGAATCTTGATTACTCGTGTTCGTTGTTTTCACTCCAGTTTTTAATAGCCACTGCCACTGCTTGCTTCACTGCATGAGCATCAATGCTTTCACCTTCTTCCTCATTCTACATTAAACCAAAAATTATCTCATTATTAGCTAATTATTAACCTACCCTCACTCTGAGAGAGAGAGAGAGAGAGAGAGAGAGAGAGAGGAAATGAAATGCCTTACTTCTCCTCCAACTGCCTGCAACCGGAAACTGTCTGCACAGGAAACCCTAGCTTCAAGCACATTAAGACCCAAGTCTTCGAAAGCTTCCAGTACAGAGACAAGCAAACCTGGGCAGCTCTTTTCAGAAAACACATTTATCAGAAACCCCTTTTCTAGGGTTTCCACTGTAACCTGCTGAAAATTTAAGGACATACAAATTGTGACAAATTAGGCAATTAATTCATATATACAACTAAATGGAAATTAATTAAATATTCATACATTAAGTTTTAGATATGATATGAAGAAGGTGGAATTTGTAGTACCACAGGCAATGGAGTTTGGTCACTTGATGATGAACTAGTTTGCGCATTTGCAATATCTTCATTCAGTCTTTCCACCTTTTGTTTTAGCTCTTCAATGTACTTTGATGCGTCTACTATGATTGAGGTTTTGTTTAGCTGTCACACATGCACAAACCAAAAATTATGACAAACGGAAAGTTATATATATATATATATATATATATATATAAATTCTCCTATGCAGACGTCCGGATGTTATTACCGTTATCATATCGTATTTTGGATTTAGGAACTGAAAATAGGTTTATACATATAGATAATTAAAGAAGTATTGCCATGTAAGAACTTTTATGGTCAATATAGATTCCAAATATTCTCTCTCTTTTCTCATGTATAAATTTACGAAATTACTCAAATATATATAGATTAATTTCCTCATCAGTTTGAAAATCAAGAAAACAGAATGAGATAATTCAGAAATTACGGATTAAATTAACAAATTACAGAAATAAGTTGGTTTCATATTATAAATATTAAAGAAATTCTTCATCTGTATTTGAAATCAGGAGTGCAGAAAATGAGATATTTTGAGGAGGTAAGGTCACACACACACACACCGAAAAAAAAAAAGAGGAAACCAATTGCATGTATTTTGTGTTATGAGGAAAAGAAACAATAAATTATACAAAAGAACAAAATAATAGGAAACAATTTTGGGTTGGTATAAAGCATATATACAGAAAGCAACTTTAAGCCAATGGAATAAAGGAAAGGCCTGAGAAATGAATGCAGCAGGGGAATTACAGCATGAGAATTAGTAATAGAACGAAGAAGCTGCAGCTTCTCATAAAGTGCTGCCCTCTTGTGCTCCCTAGAAACCATGGAAACGGATATCGGATTCGATCTTCTCAACCTCTCTCCCTCCCTTATCTTATAAACTTCTGATTTCTCAGCCTTCTCTTTTTGCCCTCTCTCTCTCTTCCTTACAAACTCTCTGAAAAGCTCTGATGAAAGCCTTTTATAAGAGGGCGAGGAGCTCTCAAATCTATATGATCACCTGTTTGCTTCCCAGCACATGACTGCCTCAGTTTTTTCACAAAATAATATTGTATAACAGATAATAGATTCTGCCTGTAATTACTGACATGCCCTTCTCACGGTACAATATTGTTTGGTTTTTAGCAATATTATGACGTAGCAGCAAGGGTTAAACATTCCTCGTAATCCTTGGGATTATTGCACATAATTAATCATTTGTATCATTCATAATCAGCTTCTAAACAAAGTTTGCTTAATTTGTTGGATATATCATTTATGTGGAGACCATACAAATTCCCAATCAAACAAATGATTCCAAAAAATGTGGAATTAGCATAAACCAATGTTAGATTACATATACAGTAAGACATTATATATGTATTTTGTACTACGTACCCCTCTATGCTTTTCTTCCTGTTTACAATGGCGTCCGCACGGTATATATATGTATTTCATTTTTAGATAAAATAAATTATATTACAATCTCGTTATCATTTTCAAAAAGTTTCCTTAGAATTTAAGCTGATAAGATCACATAGTTAATGAAATACATTTGCCAGCCACTGTCTTGAAGAAATTATTTATAGGAGCTATAGGTACCTTTTCAACTTAAAGCCGTTGTGTGAAATATCGTTGATGATCATATCTAATTAATGATGATTAAGGATCATATTCCTCAAGTTTACTAAATCAAAACTAGCTATATATATACTTATTATTGATGTGTATAAAAAAAAAAGTAATAGGGATATTAAGAGTCAGTTTCACTTGCATGTTTTTGGCTGTCTGCGCAAGTTGATATGCAGAATTAAGGCCACTCGATATTAAGCTAGAAAACATTATAAGTATCGAATATGTTTAGAGAGAGAGAGAGAGAGAGAGAGAGAGTTTGTGTGTTTCATTCTGAAAATTCATTCATTATTATTTCATATGTTTTGATTATGAAGGGGGTAGAATGGGAAAAAAAGAAGTGAATGGGCGGGAGGGAATTGGAAATGGAATCATAAGGTACCAGAGAGAGCAGCTCGTGATGGAGATAGAGGGATCGAGGTGGGAGTGGCAACTGTGGATTTGTGGAAGAAGCCAACCCTGGAGCCATCGAAACAAGTGAAAGAGAGAAGAAGGAAGCAACAAATTACTTTAGCTATTAGGATGGATGGATGGACTGGAGAGAATGCCTCCAAACACTCCTCACGGGGGCTTTTTTCCTTCTCCCTCTTTCCCCCCTCCTCTAGCCGTTGCCCTTTTTGTCCTCTTCCTCTCTCTCTTCCTCTCTCTCTACACGTGCCATTTCAACCTTCTTCATCTCTAGACTCCATCTCCATAATATATTTAATTTCTTGGAAACTCAAATTAATAATATCTACCATGCATACAACAATAATTTAAAGTAAATTATTCCTGTGCATGAGGACAGTAGCTTTCCATCCTTTTCTAACTTCTAACTAGCTATATATATATGTGTGTGTGTGTATTAAACTTATTTACTTGATTGTAAGACTATACATGTATATGTGTATATGCAGTGCAGGAGAGTTTGCAGGAGCTAGTACTTGTTGATTCCAGCATTGTCTCCATTGGACACAGACAAATCACGTACCAACTCTATTCACATGTGTGCCCATTAATCATTACAACCAAACAATACTCTCCATACACATACCCTGCTCCCAACTTGTCTCTTGCCCTCCATAAAAATAAATAATTATATATATATATATATAAAGTAATATTTCTTGCACTTCCTAGCCATATATACAGTTTCAATTTCTAGAGTGTACGTTTTAAATTATTAGCTTGCTAGCCGAGCTAGGAACCTCACCCCAACTTAATTATTATTTTTATTAATCATGTGTGTTTTGCTTTTGTATTAAATAGACACTACAACAATTTAGTTAAACCACATCTCAAAATAGACAAAAGTACACTTTAAAACCGTCGTGTTTTAAAAGATGACGATTTTACAAAACTGTCGTGGTATATCATCTTATGCACTACTAAAATGGAGTTGCATTAGGTTGATTTTTAAAACATGGTGCTTGTCAATTAACAAGCGTCGTCTTTTAAAACACACTAAAAAAAATGCTAATTAAGTGATGTGATTTTTCCTTGAATATATAAATTGTTGTGATGAGGTTAATAATTTTTTTTTTGTCTCCGTGAAATTATGTCGACAACTTGTAATATATATGCTGGAAGGCATATATATATGTGAATCAAAAATACTGATCACTTGAACAGTTTGTCCAATGAGCGTGACCCGATGCTTATCGATATGATAATACTCGGGAAAAGTAGGAAAAAACAAATTAACAGATAAGCAGTTTGTCTTGATACCTTTGAAACCTATTAGCTATAACATTTCTTCATCAAAATGAAGTGACTGCTTTCATTTTATTTCTTCAGTGCTGTCCAATTCTTCCTCACCAGGTTTGGTAAGCCTTTTTTCTTTCACCAGCCATTACTATTTTTTTAATAACCATCTTCTAAATGAAGTTGATTTTTCAAAAAGCACTTTGAAAATAGACGCAAGATATCGTGAGGTGCATGGAACTCTATATGATATATGATTGACAGTGGATTAATTCATAATTAAATATAATTTTACATATAAAGAAAGAGAGTTTAATTACGTCGGCTTTGCGCTGAATAATATATGGTACTCTCTCTCTAGGGCTTGTTAGTTGCCAAAAAGTTGGAGGTTGATGGAGAGAAGATTCTTTTAGGATTTGATTGTTCTCATTCACATGTTTCATGGTGAATGGAATGCAATGCTTTTGGTTTATAAACCCGACTAAGACTTAGACAAACACGCTTCTATTTTATTTCTTAATTAATTAACATATATATGTACATGCTAAACTCTGTTGTAATTGTGAAATCATAGCTATGGACTTCTTAATATGAGTGCTTCTATGTTAACCCTCCCGTCCTATTTCCCCACCCACCATGTAAATTTGAAAAAACACAATCCTAAAGTTCTCTCTGACTCAAAAAGAAGGCATTTGATAGAACAATCACATAACTTGATCAAAAAGCTGTAGTTGAAGCAATGGACAATGAAGAGGTGCTTTAGAAATTGAGCAATCTGCTACAAAAAAGGGAAGGCATAGAGAGAAACTGGCCAAAATGGTGGGTGGGGAAATAGGGCATGGATAGAAATAACAGCACTCCTTAATATTTATAATTCAGAATCTCATTAAAAGTTGATGTGAGTTAATTATGGCACATTACTGACCTGTACGCGTTTTGGTGTCTATATTGTATATATCCAAATCATCATGTGATGAAACAATTCAAAATGAAAAAAACAAAATTAACAACAAAGAATTGGAACCCATTTAATTAGGGCACAATCATGCAGTAAAAGTATTACTTTATTCAGAAATGTTTCTCGTGACATTCCATATTATTAAAAATAAAAAAACAGAATAAAAATCTCATATAATGACAAGCCATACCTCAATCACCACATAGAGCCATCGTTTTACAATGCTTGACACCGATCTGTGCTCCTCCATAAGGCTCCAAAATTTCGTAATTCATTCGAAATAAATAAAAAAAACCCAATAAATATTTACTATCATCCATACATTTACTTTTTTTTCTTCGTATAAACAAATTATCCTTAGTATAGTAGTATATAGGATTCTTGTGACTTGTTAGCAAAACTCACGTGAGTTGCACTTCGGGAAAGTACATTCACATGCAAATGTGACAATGGAAACAAAATTCAATCGAAGTATAAAGTTGAGTGATAAGTGCCTCTGTTGTTCATGGAGAGAGAGAGAGAGTTCTTCTTTGCAATTGTAGAATCTACATGCAATGCAAGGGATAATATATATATATATAAATAACAATACCCAAAAAGTTTGGTTGGATATATATCATATATGAATACATCAATATAACACGAGACTTGTAACTCAAGTTGTTAAGAGCAGTTATCTTTATAAAGTCCGAGGTGGTGTGTTGGAATTAAGGTTTTCATTGTGCATATGCATCCCCCACACTGAAGAATAAATGTTCACTGTCCAAACGTCGTCATTCTAGAATTCTAGCTTACATCTAATGCCTACAAATATTGCTTTGCTGTAAATAAGCTTGATGTGTGCAGAGAGAGCGCCCATGCAAACAAACCAAGCCTTAGACCTCATACAGCTATATTGCCTTGTCCTCTTTCATCCCAAAACAAATTATCTTCTGCCAAATATATTGAAAATGATATCACCATGTATTGTTTTCTTCTCTAACACCCACGTTCTTAGAAATTAAAATTCAAAACATCATCACCTGATTAATTAGCTTCAATAATATGAAATTAATTTCATATAAACAAAAGGGCTTGTTGGTTGGTCACTGGTCAATCGGTCTATTGACTCCATTCTCTGGTAGGCCACAGAACAAAAATTGTACGACAGTCCAAGATATGAATCGAATGTAAATATATTCACACTTTGTTGAAGCATTTGGCTATCTACACTTTGAAAAAAAAAATTAAAAATTACTGTAATTAATTTTGGAGGTGACGCGAAATCTGTACCCATCATCTTGGAGGTGACCTAAGTAGAAGACAAACAATCGTCTATATTTAGCACATCATTGTTGTGCATGGCATTCAATCACAGAGGTACTACTTCGAGTTGAGCAATTCTACCCCACTGATCTTGACAATAAATAAATAAATAAAATAATAAATAATAATAATATAATATGCAAAAACTTGAGGTCACGGGGTTGGTTGTAGGTATCGAACATGACATAATTGCAATTACAATGATGAGAAAAGAAAATAATTTTGTGAAAGTTGTATAATGTGTGTCTTGTTCATCACATGTAACGAAACCAGCAAAGATCCTCCCAGCGATGGCAGGAAATATATATCTTAAGAGCTGCTAAGCCCACCATGTATGATGTATACGTGACTATGTACAATACAAGCAAGAGACATCTCAGAAGGGTGTTTTCAACTGTTGCTGTCTTTTTGTGTTGGCGTTGCAACTTTTCTTAAGCAAGCCCCACAAGATAGGAGAAACTTTTGAGATTTTGCAATAATGGAAATTGGATTGGAGGAGAAGCAAGCAAGAGTAAAAAGCTTATGCCAACCTTCCTCCACTGAGACTTTAAGCTCCCGGATTCATGACTTCTCCCATTCATTGTAAGTAAACATGCCATAACGTAAACTGAAACCCTTTTAGCCAACTTCTAGATGGATATGCCAGCAAACTCCAAAGAAGATTTATTGAGAAAAGACTTGTGTATTCTTTCCTGCTTTTATTCTAGTGTTAAGAACATAAAGGTAAAAGTTTTGCTGTTGCTTTAACACATATAATACAAGGCACATAATCTTCAAAGAGGCGCATATGAATGATTGAATACTCGATGATTTGTAACGAGTTCCTTCAGTGAATGTACAGTTCGGATAAAATGAGTTCCATCGCATACTTTTTTCGGAATCAATAACAGAAACCAAGCTTATTCCACCGGCTCAGGACATAAAGCAAAACTCATCTCACCATATCAATCATGCCCGACTTTGGAACAGAATTTTCACCGGGTTTTTTTTTTCTGCAAAGGTTGGGTGCTTCCATCTGAATCCTTCTGCACATCATTGAGGATTTTGGATTTTGTATCAAATGATTTATATTGGTGGATGGTGTTCAATGGTTGAGCAGTCCCAGGGTCCTTAACATGAACTCAATTCTGCTACTCGACCCTGTACAGAGCACCTTGAGTACATCTGCCTGTGCCCAATAAACTCTTTGTGGTCAAAGAAGCCTATATCCACCATAACCAATCGCACAATGAAATCAACATTCTATTATACATCAGCATGGATTATTTTGGAATATGTTCAGGAGCCCACAACTCCAAAAATGCCCAAGCAGTACAGCCCTCATGGTCAGTTGTCAACCCCAACACCAATCATTGGACCATTCAACAGAAATTTTATGGGTTTTACATCTGTAGTCTGTATGTACCCTGGACGCTCTGCTCCCAAGCCTGAAAGAGGAGCTGAGCAGGTGGAAAAAATCAATAGATGTACATGGCACCTCAATTTCATCATCGAAAGATTCATTTGCTCTTTGTTGCTGCAGCTTTTCTCTATCTTGATCACAAAAATTTTGTTCCGCTACTTGAACAGTATACCTGAAATATTGGACATATTTATCAAATTAGTGTTTTCGTGTGAGCTTATCCAGGAATCCCCATATTTTCAACCAAATTCACATCTTGCAATACATAACTCAAATCTGGAACGTAACCCATGGACTTAAGCTTCACTCTCAGCTCTTCTAACTTTGCATATATCTCATGCTTTTCTGGATGTTGTTGATCCCCTGCATAAAATTTGTGGATTCTACCTTTCACAGAAATCCAACTACAACCTGGCTCCTTTTTCACACCTCGGTCTTTCATCACATCTCTCAAACTATTTCCATCTTTATAACTCCCTGTCCTGATATAAGTGTTGGATAGAAGAACATAGGTAGCTGAGTATTCTGGCCTAACTGAAAGGATCTTCTCAGCTACAATCTCCCCCAACTCAACATTTTCATGTACTCTACATGCTCCCAACAAAGTCTGCCAAACCATTTCATTGGGCTCAATTGGCATCCTTTTTATGAACTCCACTGCATCATTAAGACGGCCCACACGACCTAAGAGATCAACAATACAAGCATAATGTTCCATCTTTGGCACCACACCATACAATTTTTCCATTACATGAAAATGATAGAGACCTTCTTCTACCATACCACAGTGGCTGCATGCAAATAGAACACACAATAAGGTAACATCATTGGTCTTCACACCCATCTGCTCCATTCTCTTAAAGAGTTCAAGGGCATCCTCCACAAGCCCATGTTGAGCATATCCTGATATAATAGCAGTCCACGAAATTGTATCTGGTTCAGAAATCCTCTCAAAGACCTCTTGTGCCTCAGCTATATTACCACATTTGGCATACATATCGATTAGGGCACTTTCGATACACTTTTCAGTGTCCAAGCCAACCTTGCAAAGGAGGCCATGGACTTGTTGACCATACTCAAGTAAACAAAGGCTGGCACATGCAACAAGCACACTAGAAAGAGTAAACTGATTTGGCGTAAAGCCTTCTTCCCTCAATTTTGAGAAGATTGTCAGTGCATCCTCCCATTCAGAACCTTGAGAATAAGCAGTCACCAGTGTTGTCCAAGACACTAAATCTCTCTCTTCTATCCTGTCAAAGACCTTCTGTACGTCTTCCAGCAACCCACATTTGGCATATGCATCAGCAATTGCATTGGAGACACTTGTAACCTTCATTTCTATCCCTGACTTTAAAACCATCCCGTGAATTTGCTTTCCAAATTGCAAACATTTTAACTCTGCTATTGCATTGAACACACTGCAGTAAGTGTAAATGTCTGGTTGTATATTTTTCAGGCACATTTTCACAAAGAGCTCCATCGCTTCTTGGCTGTGACCACATTGTGAATAGCCAGAAATCAATGCATTCCATGGTGGATTGACTCCACAGCTGGTGAAATTCAAGTCAAAAACAGAT